TGTTTCTCTCCTGGGCGGCCGGGAGCGGGAGACTCCCAGAGCACCCGGGAGAGTTTTTTCTTTTTTTCTGACGGCAGCAGAACCGCCGGACAGTGGAAAACTGTTGGGCGGAGCTAGCTGTCACTGCTAGCTCCGCACAATCGTTTTCTATTAACTTTTTTTTTACTTTTTAAAAAAAAAATCTGTTCTGCTTGGTCCCTCTGAGGGACCGAGCAGAACAGCCGAGCCGAATGCCGCTCAGCGGCATTCGGCTATTCACTCGCTGCTGTTCGGCATCTATGAGAATAGGCCGAACAGCAGTGAGGAGCCTGCCGGAGGTTCGGCTTAGCCGATCCAGATGTTAGATCGGCTGAGTCGAACTCCTTCTGCACTTCGGGTCGGCCGAAGATGCTGAGCATGTTCGGCCGACCCAAAGCCATGCGAAGCAAGCCGATGTACGGCTGATTTCAGCCGATATACGGCTGAAATCAGCCGTACCAGCCTGAAGTGAATAGCCGAACAGTGTTTTCGGCTCACTTCACTTCACTTCAGGTCGGTCATTCACTCGGCTGCCTACGGCAGCTTAGTGAATAGACCCCATAGTATCATATGCATACGTTTAGACTCTGCCTGAGTATTAATTGCAGCTCAGTCGAATCTCCTATTTACAGAAACACTTAAAAACAGGGAATCATGGAGTATAAAGTCCTCAAAGAGACATTTTGACATATAAAAAGTGTTTAAAAGAAAATACGCCTGTGTTTGCCATAGCAACTGCTTCCTTTAGTTTTTAATGACTTTATGGTTGCCACTTAAGAAATGTTTCCTTTTTCTTACAAAGGTTTATTGCGCCCAACATGAAGTTTTTTAAATGAATGGCTATGTAGAAGTAATTTTAGAAGATTTTTGGGAATTTACAGGCTCAAGGCCCCTTTACATTGGTGGACAATGGTTAAGCCAGGGGTGGACAAATTTGTATGGAACTTAAGAGCCAGTCTGTCCAATCCAGGAGCCAACAGGATTTTTATTTTAGGAGTCAGCTCCATTGATAACTACTAGAGAAAACCTCAAGGTAACTGCCAGCTTGAATTTTTAGGGAGCATTGGCTACCTGGCTCCTGGAATTTGTCCAGCCCTGGGTTTAATACCTCCTTTACATTGGTGGCCAGTGGTAAAGCTCCCCCCTTACATTGGTGGCCAGTGATAAAGCTCCCCCCCTTACATTGGTGGCCAGTGGTAAAGCTCCCCCCTTACATTGGTGGCCAGTGGTAAAGCTCCCCCTTACATTGGTGGCCAGTGGTAAAGCTCCCGCCTTACATTGGTGGCAAGTGGTAAAGCTTCCCCTTACATTGGTGGCCAGTGGTAAAGCTTCCCCTTACATTGGTGGCCAGTGGTAAAGCTCCCGCTTACATTGGTGGCCAGTGGTAAAGCTCTCTCTTACATTGGTGGTCAGTGGTAAAACGCCCCCTTACATTGGTGGCCAGTGGTGAAGTCAGCTTGTTCATTAATCCACAGCCTGGGCTGATTGATCTGCTGGCTGACTGAATGAAAAATGTTGTTGCAGACATGTTCTGTCAACAGGGTTGT